CCTTAAAACACCATTTCCACCACTGAAATTTCTCTGAGTTTCAGTGGTGAGAAGGCCAAAATAAGGTGATCCTAATAGCTTAAAAAGATGGCACAAGAACAAGGTCAGACAAGGCCTAAGAGGGGGTAGACTACCCCCAACACAAAAGTGACCTTAAACAAACATCACAAGCATGCAAAATCAGAACTTTTTGCAGTAGGAAGTCAAGCCTAAATAAGCATGCAAATAGGTCCAAAAGATTAAGCAAAACAAGGGTTTAAGGGGTTAAAGGCTCACCCTTGTAGAACCACTTTGAAGCTACAACTCCAACAACTTTTTTGAGCTCAAACCAAACCAAAAACACTAAAACCAGCTTCTAAGAGCCTCAGCAACAAAAGGATGGTGTTTGAGTGTGTATTTGTGTGTAATAGTATGACAAAACTACACTTCTAAGCACAAAAATAAGGCCAAGAGAGAGATATAGAGATATATGTGTATCTATAGCTCCAACCAAAAAAACTGAACCTGGAGGAGAAGGGAGGAGGTTCTCTCTAATAGAGAACAAAAGTGTAAGCTTGTTGGACAAGCTTAGGGTCTAAGGCTATCCCTCCATATGTGTATGGAGGATGGTTTTAGTGCCTTCCAGTTGTGACAACTGGATAGAAAATATCTCTAGGAATGAGTTGGAAAGCTGCCGACCACTTGAAGTGGTCGGCTAACTACTTCTACTAGTCGGCCGACCAGTGGAAGTGGTCAGCCAGGGCAAAAAGTGGTCGGCCACAAGGGAGAGGTGATCTACACACTGAAAGCAAGGCAATAGTTTGGTGGCCGACCAGAAAAGGTGGCCTAAAGACCAAGGAAACCAATTTTTTGACCAAAAAATTGGCTGGCAAGAAGGAAAATGGTCTCCAAGGGTAAGAGCTGGTCCCCCACCCTTGTACCACCTTCCAAACAAGGAAAACAAGGTTTGTACCAAAAACAAACCAAAAAGGATGCAAGACGAAAGTCTGGGAGGCAAGGCGCACAGCCGGGAGCCTCGAAAACTAGTCTATAGGCATCAAAAGTGGTCTCCCAGACCACAGTGTCCCTCTAGGCAGAGGCAACAAGGTGTGGTTCAAAAACCACGCCAAACGGAGAACGTTAAGTGGTCCCGAGTCAAGGCGCGCAACCGAAGGCTCCAAAAATCGAAAACTGGTCTCCAAACGAGAAAAGTGGTCTACGACCACAAAGAAGTGGTCTACAAGACCTCTCCCTCTCTCTAGGGAAGAGAAAACAAGGTTCGGTCCATAAACCGAGCCGAAACACAAAGAGTTCAGAGGCCCAGAGGCAAGGCACTCAGCCGAAAACTCTGGAAACTCGAAACGAGCACAACATGCGCAATCACCGAGCGCTCAATCGATGACGTCTGAGTCTTAAGGTCGGTCAAAAATGGGGTTTCTACAGTGATTCATAAATCAAGAACTTGAGAAAAACAACAATAGCAACGAATAATAAAGTAAAGTTTTTTGAAGAGAAACAAGGAATTGAAATAAAAAGGAACAGTGACTCACCCAAGAAAAATGAAGCCGAAGTAAAGTTTGCCGGGATCAGACGGTAGCCGAAAACAAGGAAGTGCAGCAGAAGCCTCGCCGGAGGAGAGAGTGAGACTGGTTGTAGAAAGCTTCGCGAAAGCAGCAATGGAGGATTTAGAAGAGTAAAGAGAGAGAGTTTTTGCACGAAGACAATGATGTAAAGTGAAAAGACGAAGAGAGAGGGTTCTAGTTTTGTCAAAAAAGCGAAAAGGCGACAAAATGAAATTGATGAGCCTAGAATGACGTATTTGTCAGACGGCGCACGTAGGCACAAGGCGACTTAAATGGCGCGTATCGGACACGGTGTAGTGGGAGACAGACGTGTGGTAGAAATGGTTGAATAACAATGCGTGATAGCTAATACGCGTGTTGAAACTCTTGAAGTTCTCAATATAATGAAGCAAAAACCTCGGCTAAGGAGACGATCTCAGCTTAAACAAACTTGGTTATTGGTTCCAGAACATTGATGAAAGCAGACTATAGGTCTTGGTCATATTAAAATGATAAAGTTATGACTTCGGCAATGAATGATAAAGCGAAGATTAGCCGACGTGCTAAATGAAAGGAATGATATAGGTTCTATCACCTCAGGATGCCGAGGTAATAGAAACTAGGGGGTAGTTGTGGGGACATAATTTTTGAATGACGACACATGGCCGAGGTGTCACCGAAGTGCCAGCCGGGGTGCCACGTGTCCTGGTCATGACGCCGAGATCATCTCGGCTAGGCCAAGGTTATCTGGGAGAATATCGGAATCCGGGATAAGGGATAAGAGTCCTAAAGTGAGAGAAGACTTCAGTTTGGGTAAAGATATGACTCTTAGAGAAGTTCATCACAATCCTACTAGGAGTCCAAGATTAGCAGCAATCCTAAGTCCACTAGAGCTAGGCTTCTATTGGGACTAGGATTGTATTGGCTATAAAAGGGAGGCACCCCCATAGGTCTAAGGTACACAATTTATATTCTGAATAGTGAGTTAAACATTTTTGCTATCTTTGAGAGATAACTGACTTGATCATCGGAGTGCCCCCGGATGGATGAACCCCCGTCGGAATCTCTTCTTTCTGTTGCAGGTCGTTCGGGCTTAATCTATTCTGCTGGTGCTCTCAAGCTAAGTACTAATTTGGCAGTGTGGTCGGAAATTGACACACACAATTTCTGTATAAATTGTCACATTATGTATATGATATGATCTAAAGCATTCATGATCATAGCTATCTGTATGTTGTTATTGTTTAGGATCATATTGGGATCCTTACTGGACTTTATGTTCATTCCATATTGCTAATCCATTTTCAGGTGAACGTCGAGAAGGGTTTCAAAATCGAGGATCTATTTTATGTGTTGGCCACGGGGCTTTTTATTTGTAGGCGGAATGACATTGATGTAAAAGGAATAAGCCCTTGCTTTTAATTTAAAAGATGTAAGCCTACGGGCAATTTATTTATTTTTATCTCATGTTGCATTCATTTTATATTCGAATGAGAGAATGTTTAACAATAATACTCATTAATGTATTAAATTTCTACGCATGATCTTTGAAGTTGTGTTATAATGAAGGATTTGTTAATGGTATCCGTTGATATAAAAGTGGGGCGCGACAATAAATAAAAATCAAATTTATTAATTTTATCTATTTGTATATCTGTTTTATTTTTATTTTTATTTTTATTGTTATGTTATAATGTAATATATAAGATATAAATAAATACCCACAACTCTCATAAAAAATATTATTTGATTTTTTGGGGAGACAAGGGAAACAAGTTTTAATATTTGTTTTTTGAAAATCAGTGAGAGATATTAGAATAAAGAGATTATGAAATATTTTTGTTATCTTTCTATTTAAAATCCATAAATTAAGGTGAGATAGAGATATTTTCGTTATCTTTCCATTTGAAATCTATAAATTAGGGGATAATTGTTATTTTTAAAATAAATAAATCAGTCAATAATTTTTTTAAAATCTATTTTATAAATTAAAAATTAATAATTTTAGAATGAGAGTTTGAAACTCTAAAGAGATTTCTCATTAGAAATTGTCTTTCTCCTTATATAATATATAGATTTGTTAAAGACAATGACAATTACTACATTTAAAAGGTTAGTAAATTTGTTTTCTCAATGATCTTCATCATTTATTAAGCTTATGCAATGTAGTAGCTATGACTAAGTTTTTCAAAAATCTAAAAACAATTAATATTGATTGAAAAGAAGATCCAAGCAAACCAATTAGTAACATTAATTGCAAAACCCTAATAATCTTTATTTATTTTTAGCTATAGAGTTGGTGCTTTTCATTGATCAAATTATAATTAATACTATCAGAGTGATGGGTGTTCTTAAGACATGGCCAATAATCTTCTCTAGGCTTTTCATTGTCTGGTTCACTTTCACTTTTATTTTATCCCAATTTCATCTTCTCTTCCCTTCATTATAAATAATTCATAATATATCCAATAAAATTTGGTACATTATGTTTTGTATTTGTTAGTTTCATACAAATAAAAGTGTGTTAGGCAGGGATATATCTTCGCTTATATTTTCTTTGTAAATTTCATTGAATAGATCTGATGAAATTGTCGAAATTTTTTAAGTCAATGTAAATTCATTATTTAATTTTGTTAATAACTTTTTTTATAAAAAAATAATTAAATTTTAAATACCAGTGGGTTCGTATACTTAAGTTTATTTTGTTGTTTCTTGCCTAGATAAAAACTTAGTGCGTGAATTCTATTATTAGGAGATTTTGCTGATCAAACTGTTTATTTATCGATTTTTGTGTAGATTATATATAAAAAGGGAATATTAGATTCATTACATGATTTTATTTATTATAATTAAAAAATAAATAATTCATTTTTAAAAATGTACTTACCTTTAATTTTTTTTAATGACAAATGTAATAAAATTGTGATTATTGAACAATTGATTTTACTATAAATAAATCAATAATCTAAAAACAAATATAATTAAATCATATAATTATAAGGCAGTGGTTTTGGTTCAGTCCAAGATCGGACTGGACCGTGCTGTTAGGTCCGTAGGGACCTACCATGGGTCCCGTTTTGATAATGCGAACCGTTCAATATGTAGAACTCGTCGAATACTATATGCCTGCAAAAATTCACGTTGATCGGATATTGATAGCTATGTGAACAGAACAGTTTTTTATCAACCGTTAATTGTTTCACCGTCTATTTTTTTTTATACAAAACTGATTTGATCACATAGCTATTCATATCCGATCAACGTGATTTTTTGCACGCATGTAGTACTCAACAAGTTCTACACATTGACGGTTCGGATTATTAAAACGGGCCCAAAAAATGAATCCCATGGGCCGAACTAGACGGGTCTAATCTTGATCTCAACTTGAGACAAGCTGGACCCTATTATAATTATTTATCAATTATTAAAATTAAAGAAAAAAACAATCAACACAAAAAAATCCACAAAATAGATGAATCAAACGATCAAAATAGAGAATCTCTCCTCCTATGCCTGCAATTTGTTCAATTCTCCGAACAAAATGAATTGCTTTGCGGGAAAGTCTTTCTCTAACTTCTTTCCATTCAAATCTCTCTGCAACCACACCACTTTCCTTCCTGTATATGCATACTTTCTCAACAACCAAACAGAGCCAAGGATTTAGGTTTCTGTAGATGTTTTTGTTAACAGGAAACTTTCTGGACAGAAGCTTTCCTGTAGCAAACGAAAAGGTAAATGCTGTACCGTTTTTTTTTCTTCTTCTCCATAATCTGTATATGCATTTAAACTCTGGCAAATGAGTCCATCTTATTCCATTCTGAATATATTGATCAGTTGTAACTTTGGTCTCTCTACACTTGTTTCACATAAACTTAGTGAATTTAATTCAATGGTGTTCTACTTCCTTTTTGTTGTCTTTTACGTTTTGATTACTAGTGCAATTTAGGAATATAATTGTAGTTTGGATCATTTTATGCATTGAAATTTATTTGTTTTATTCATTTCATTTTTTCTGTAAATGTTTTGTTGCCTAATGAGCTTACTATGGCAGGAATTGGAAATCAATGCTCCTATCAAGATACTAAACAGTTAACTGTGCAACTGTTCACTTATTCTGGATCTAAAGGATAATAGCATGTATGATTGTGAGAGGGAGATTTATGATCTAGTTTCGGCCAAACAAGATTGGGCCGAGGTATTTGGCTTCAAGATTGTGCCGTGGTTTTGCTCAGTAATGGCAAAGGGCCTGCGGAGCCGAGCTACTTGGGCTCTTTGGTATGAAGGCCGGTCAAGTGAGAGCTCGGCTGAGACGTCCGCGACCTAGAAGGGCTTCACGGTTCGTGCGTTGCTCGGTTGAAAGGCGCGCACCCATAGCTCGGCATGAAGATTCGTGCCTGAAGCTCGACAGGAAGGCCTTTGGTTGACCGGAATGACCAATCCCGTGCTCGGCGTCGCCGGAATGCGGTCGAGCACGGCTGAAACGAAGCTCGGTTATTGGAAGCACTTGGTCTTGAAGTGCATTATGGCTGTTGGCAGCTGAGAAGCTGCAGCCCGGCTGCCGAGCTCCCAGTAGAGTGGGCTGGCAGTTGGGTTAGGTGGAGTTCAGCGAGATTTGTGCTGACAGATGGGATAGCAGCACCAGGTGTCGAGAGACTAAGGAGAGTAGATCTGGGGCGCAGAAGGTATATAAGCGGGTCTGCGCCTCCAATACAAGGGATGAACATTTGGGGAGACATACACTAAACACTAAACACTCTCCCTTCTCTCTATCTATCCCCTGTGTGTGTTCTAACTTGATCGTCGGAGGGGTTTTCCAGCCACACACCGCCGGGTAGCTCACCACTATTGTGCTCGCAGGTGATCGGACAGAAACGGAGCTTGGAAGAAAGGAGTACGGGCTTGCTGGAATATTTGCTCCCCGTACAATTGGCGCCGTCTGTGGGAACTTGACAGACAAAACCTTGTCTTCCAGGTTCATCTGATCGCCGTCCATGGCGAACAACGATGAGTTTCCGTTGTCTGCCATAGATGGAGCTACCCCAGAGTTCACCCGAATGAGAGAAGGCCCTCCCGCCATCCATCCAATGGCGGACTTGGGGACGCCCACCGGAGGCCAGTCAGGAGACGCGCGGGATAAGCGCGGAAGAAGTCATGGACATTCACGGAGTCCAGACGGCCACCGGCGGAGGAGAGACTCACACGCCAGGCGTTTGGAAAATAAGTTGAGGGATCAAGACGCTGTCATCCGGCAAATGGCGGCGGAGATGGAGGATCTGAAGCGGCATGTCAAAGGGAAGGGTGTAGCTGGAGTGGGAGACCACAGTGAGCGCACCCCATCCCGTCGTTCAGGCAGCCAGAGTCAGCGACGTACTCAGTCCATATCTATTACCAGAAGTTACCAGGTTGGTGATTCCGACGCGTATGCAGAAAAGTCTAGCCCGCAAGACAGCACCTACAAACCTTCACGTCCGGGGACGACGTCAAGGTACTCTTACTCCGCTCAGTCAGAGGATCTACGGGCGGTCTTAAAGGAGCGGGCTCGTCGGCACGAAGCCTAGAGAATACCTGCTTTCCAGCGGCTATCCTACGGGGTTCACACCAGCGAGGAGGTTGGAATGCATCCACCCCGCCAAGCAGTGCCACTCTTTGAAGATACGGACTTGGCTAGGCTGAGTGCCACCCCTTTTTCCCTGGAAATAGAAACAACACCGCTTCCGACAGGCTTCCACCAGCCTAAGTTCACACTTTACGACGGGAAAACCGATCCATATATGCATGTGAGCCACTTCCGACAGGTTATGGCCGGACATAGGCGCAATGACGGACTTATGTGCCTAATCTTCCCGTCAAGTTTGGGCGAGCTGGGCTTAAAGTGGTTCGAGAGGTTGCCGGAAGGAAGCATACAAAGGTGGCACCAGCTGGCCGAGGCGTTTGTTACACGCTTCAAAACCAACACAAAGACACCAAAGGAAGTCGATCATTTACTTAGTGTCAAGATGGAACCGAGCGACACACTGAAGGTATACAACTCAAAAACAGCACAGCAGACCAACCACCCTGAAGGCATCACAAATCGAGGTATTGGGACACTTAAACAGAATTCTAGGATTGCCGGTAACAAACCTTACGAACATCACCAACAACAACTATAAATACAGCGCGGTCATACAATTCAAACACAACCTCAACACCCACGGCATCAACGGCTCCAAGGACAACCACACTACTAAGGCGCTCGAGGAGACTTCGGCTCTACATTGCACATCAACCGAGCAGACAATATCTCACACCGCAGGCACTCTCCCTAATAAATGCAGCACATAAATGACGCCCACACATCACCGAGTCGTAGGCCAGGAATCGATGCAGCCTCGAAGTCCTAACAGCGGAGACAACGCTACGATGCGAATCTCACAAACGTCACAGCAGCGGAGGCGCAAGGGGAAGATGGGAGGAGTTCGTGAGGGTTGCGGTCGTAAGTGGAAAGTGGCTCACAACGGTGGAAGCAGGGGGCAAACGCCCGGGCGCAAAACAGGGCTGAGTGTCCGGGCTGAAGTTGCAAGACTGAGGGGTTTCATCACTTAGTGGTAGACCCGGTGAACTAGTAGTCGGATGCGATTGGGCAAAAGGAAGCCGAGCGCAGTTGGCTTAGAATGAATATTTTGATGCCGCTTAAAGGCATACCGGCAAGCAACCTAAAATTTAGAAGAACCGAGCCGATAGAGTAATAATATATCTAACAAACTGTTGCCTTATGTAATTATTAACTCTCGAAGGGAATTGTATAATAGACCTATCCTGTTACTGCAATGCCAAAATAGAGTGAGAGAACTTAAGAGTGGTGTGATGGTGAAGTCACGTAATGAATTAAGTATAGAGTATGGATATATTGCACTAAATGTCTGATTACTATAGTGAGAGTTGTTGTGGTTGAATTTCACACAAGAAAAGAAGCATATACTGTGCTGACTCTTTCTATTAAGAGAAGGAGATGCGTACCTACTTGTCTGATTCAACCGAGAGAAGGCAGAGATTGCTTTCTCGCTAGACGAGAGACATTGAATTAGATTTGCCTCTACATAAAGAAGCTGAAGTACCACCACGCACACACAGCGCGCAGCCGCCGATGTTTGTGACATCGTTTAGAAGTATGGTCGCCTATCACAGGCATTTATAGACAATTTCAACAGATGGTTACTGACGAGGTTTATCAGGCGGAATGTTTTTACACATCCGGTGACAGAAGTTGAACTATGATTATGTCCTCAAACATTTGCTGATGGATATTCTCAACAATATTGAGATGAAATTTACATCAATTGCATGCAGAGATTGTAAGCAGTTTGGGAACAGAATAGGTTGGGTTGCATCCTCAATTTCTAGGTAGGTTCCAGGAGATATGACCATATTTTACTCCATAGCTGAAAGATTTCCGAGTTTGTATGTATTATTATTTGCTTATAATCTTATTGAGGTATTCACAAGCAAGCAGAGTATAATACAGTGTTGTACTATCCAAGATCACAAAAGAGAATTAATATGATTGATTACTCGGGCTACTACTGGCGAGCAGAGGTAATATACATAAGACAGAGTGTTTATCTCTCGGATGAGATATTGATAGAGCATTGTGCTGTCAGATAATAGAACAAGATTCATTTAAGCAGAGATGAGTATGTAATCACTCGGCGCCTGGGAGCAAGAGTTTGATGTATATATGACAATCATATTGTGCATGAGGTTCCACAAGTTGTCGGAGTGGAATTTATAACCACGGTCAGAAGGTTCCGTGCTATTGCGACGCTTGGATTATTTGTGCATCGGCTTCTGATTAGGTCCAGTCGGAATGTTGATCTTGATAAAGACAATCTAGAAATGAAGTCGACAGTGGACCTTCCTTCTGTTCTATTGGAGTCCTTCTTGGAACGAATGCTGATCTTGTTTACCGCTTTAGTGCGCAAGAGAGAGTAGCAGGAGCAGGAATCTTTGACTCACTATCCGCCTTCCCTCTTGAGTAAGTATATCCATTGGCCGAGATGATCTTGTTAGCGATCAAGAAGGAAGTAGCAGAAGAAGTACGGAGACACTTATGCTAAATTCTAAGCCCTTATATTGAATAAGGAGATTCCTAAAAATTTTGGATTTTAAGTTAGCTTTTTGGGTATAAATTAAAGTTCAACGCACAAGAATTCACAGAAAAAGTCGCGAGCGGAACTATGCTCGCATAATTAAAAATATTCTTTAAATTATATGATATGTGCTAGATGGCCTAGATAGTCTGAAATATGTTGTCCAGAACAGCAGACGAGAATAGTCTTACTTGCGCTGTCTTATTGAAATTCCAGATTAAAGATAGGAAAAGGTTCAGCAGGGAGAACGGAACCTTGATCTATCAGGCAATATCTTTATAGGCAGCTCTTCGGCCAGAAAATAGCTTTGATTATTAGGAAGATACTCGCCATAAGATTAAGTGAAGTCGCATGCAGGCGAGTGGTTAAGCGGCTACCTTGTAATCTTTCAGCACTTCTACCTCTGGTAGAACTTACCTAAAATAGGACTTCGAAGACTGATACTTCTTAAATAACCAAAAAGACAAAAGAAAGATAGGCGAAGACGACCTTGCCTCGCCTTCTCTTGGAGTTCTGGCGAAGTTGATCTCTGTCGCGAACAACATGGAAGAAAAAATCAAGCATCTTGTCCGCAAGTAGAAAGAAGTAGCGGAGCGGACCTG